GTGAGACACCTGGGCACACCTGGGCACACCTGGGCACACCTGGGCACACACCTGTACCCTCACCTGTACCCCTGCCCACCCCTGCACCCACCTCCTGCACATTGGGATACAGGCATGGCCCTGCATCTTTGACCTGATGAGACACCTGGCACACCTGGCACACCTGGGCACACACCTGTATCCTCACCTGTACCCTTACCCACCCCTACCCACCCCTACACCCACCTCCTGCACATTGGGATACAGGCACGGCCCCGCATCTTCAACCTGATGAGACACCTGGCATACCTGGGCACACCTGGGCACACACCTGTACCCTCCCCTGTACCCTCGCCTGTACCCTCAACCTGTACCCTTACCCACCCCTGCACCCACCTCCTGCACATCGGGACGCAGGCACGGCCCCGCATCTTCGACCTGGTGAGACACCTGGCACACCTGGGCACACACCTGTACCTGTACCCTCACCTGTACCCTCACCTGTACCCTCACCTGTACCCCTGCCCACCCCTACACCCACCTCCTGCCCATCGGGACACAGGCACGGCCCCGCATCTTCGACCTGGTGAGACACCTGGCACACCTGGGCACACCTGGGCACACACCTGTACCCTTACCCACCCCTACACCCACCTCCTGCACATCAGGGCACAGGCACGGCCCCGCATCTTCAATCTGATGAGACACCTGGCACACCTGGGCACACACCTGTACCTGGGCACACCTGGGCACACCTTGGCACACACCGGTACCCCTACCCACCCCTGCACCCACCTCCTGCACATCAGGACACGGGCACGGCCCAGGATCTTCAGCCTGGTGAGACACCTGGCACACCTGGGCACACCTGGACCTGGGTGCACACCTGGACCTGGGTGCACACCTGGACCTGTACCCGCTCCTGTACCCACACCTGCCCCTGTGCTGGCACCGCCAGGACCTGGGGTGCCACATCCCCCTGCCCCACACACACCCTGTGGGATTTGGGGTCCCCTCCCTGTCCCACCCCCGGTGCCCCACACGGTGACCCACGTGGGTGCCCACGCGGTGACCCACGACCTCCTGGCACGGGGCCGGCACGTCCCGTGACCGGCACGTCCCGTGACCGGCACCGTGTCCTGCTGGGGGTCACGGTGTCCCCGTGTGCCCCACAGTGTCCTGCTGGGGGTCACAGTGTCCCTGTGTGTCCCACAGTGTCCTGCTGGGGGTCACGGTGTCCCCGTGTGCCCCACAATGTCCTGCTGGGGGTCACGGTGTCCCCGTGTGCCCCACACTGTCCTGCTGGGGGTCACGGTGTCCCCGTGTGCCCCACAGTGTCCTGCTGGGGGTCACGGTGTCCCCGTGTGCCCCACAGTGTCCTGCTGTGGGTCACGGTGTCCCCGTGTGCCCCACACTGTCCCCCCTCAGGCTGGCACTGTGTCCCTGTGTGCCCCACACTGTCCTGCTGTGGGTCACAGTGTCCCCGTGTGCCCCACAGTGTCCTGCTGTGGGTCACGGTGTCCCCGTGTGCCCCACAGTGTCCTGCTGTGGGTCACGGTGTCCCCGTGTGCCCCACAGTGTCCTGCTGTGGGTCACGGTGTCCCTGTGCGCCCCACACTGTCCCCCCACCGTGTCCCCGTGTGCCCCCACCGTGTGTCCCCTCTTAGGCTGGCACCATGTACCCCACCCCATTGGGGCTGGGGGCACCATGTCCCCCCCCATGTTCCTCTGTGCCCCACACTGTCCCCCCTCAGGCTGGCACTGTGTCCCTGTGTGCCCTACACTGTCCTGCTGGGGGTCACGGTGTCCCCGTGTGCCCCACACTGTCCTGCTGGGGGTCACGGTGTCCCCGTGTGCCCCACAATGTCCCCCCTCAGGCTGGCACTGTGTCCCCGTGTGCCCCACACTGTCCTGCTGGGGGTCACGGTGTCCCCGTGTGCCCCACACTGTCCTGCTGGGGGTCACGGTGTCCCCGTGTGCCCCACAGTGTCCTGCTGGGGGTCACGGTGTCCCCGTGTGCCCCACAATGTCCCCCCTCGGGCTGGCACCCTGTCCCCGTGTGTCCCATCCCCCTGGGGCTGGGGACACCCTGTCCCCCATGTCCCTGTGTGCCCCACAATGTCCCCCCTCGGGCTGGCACCATGTCCCATGTGCCCCATCCCCCTGGGGCTGGGGACACCCTGTCCCCCATGTCCCTGTGTGCCCCACAAGGTCCCCCCTCGGGCTGGCACCATGTCCTATATGCCCCATCCCCCTGGGGCTGGGGGCACCGTGTCTCCCCATGTCCCTGTGTGCCCCATGCTGTCCCCCCTGGGGCTGGCACCATGTCCTATATGCCCCATCCCCCTGGGGCTGGGGGCACCCTGTCCCCCATGTCCCCCCACAAGGTCCCCCCTCGGGCTGGCACCACTCCCGTGTGCCCCATCCAATGGGGACACCCTGTCCCCCATGTCCCTGTGTGCCCCACAATGTCCCCCCTCGGGCTGGCACCACATCCCCGTGTGCCCCATCCCCCTGGGGACACCCTGTCCCCCATGTCCCTGTGTGCCCCACAATGTCCCCCCTCGGGCTGGCACCACATCCCCGTGTGCCCCATCCCCCTGGGGGCACCATGTCCCCCCATGTCCCTGTGTGCCCATTGCTGTCCCCCCTGGGGCTGGCACCATGTCCTATATGCCCCATCCCCCTGGGGCTGGGGACACCCTGTCCCCCATGTCCCTGTGTGCCCCACAATGTCCCCCCTGGGGCTGGCACCACATCCCCGTGTGCCCCATCCCCCTGGGGGCACCGTGTCCCCCCCGTGTGTCCCCCCCGTGTCCCCCCCCTCTGTGGGGCCGTGTGTCCGGGCCCGGCGCGGTTGTCCTTGGCGGTGTCCCCTGTCCCGTGTCCCCTGTCCCGTGTCCCCTGTCCCGTGTCCCCTGTCCCGTGAGCGCCGCCGGGCCCGGGGCCAGTCCCGGCGAGGGGCCAGCGCTGCCCGGGCCGGGAGCCAGCGGGCACGGGGGGTGGGGGGACAGGGGAGGGACATGTGACAGTGCCACCCCGGGGTCAACCCGGTGCTGTCCTGGTGCTGTCTCTGTCCTGGTGCTGACCCGGTGCCACTTCTGTGCCATCCCAGTCCTGTCCCTGTGCCATCCCAGTCCTGTCCCTGTTCCATCCTGGTGCCATCCTAGTGCCACCCCCATGCTATCCCCGTCCCACCCTGATGCCATCCCAGTCCTGTCCCTGTTCCATCCTGGTGCCATCCTAGTGCCACCCCCGTGCTATCCCCGTCCCACCCTGATGCCATCCCAGTCCTGTCCTGGTGCCATCCCAGCCCTGTCACTGTTCCATCCTGGTGCCATCCTAGTGCCACCCCCATGCTATCCCCGTCCCACCCTGATGCCATCCCAGTCCTGTCCCGGTGCCATCCCAGCCCTGTCCCTGTTCTATCCTGGTGCCATCCTAGTGCCACCCCCATGCTATCCCCGTCCCACCCTGATGCCATCCCAGTCCTGTCCCTGTTCCATCCTGGTGCCATCCTAGTGCCACCCCCATGCTATCCCCGTCCCACCCTGATGCCATCCCAGTCCTGTCCTGGTGCCATCCCAGTCCTGTCACTGTTCCATCCTGGTGCCATCCTAGTGCCACCCCCGTGCCATCCCCGTCCCACCCTGATGCCATCCCACTCCTGTCCTTGTGGCATCCTCGTGCCACTCCGGTGCCACCTCAGTGCCACCCTGGTCCCCTCCCAATGCCACCCTAGTGCCACCTCAGTCTTGTCCCAGTACTATCCTGGTGCCACCCCGGTGCTGTCCCGTCCCGGTGCCACGGTGGTGTCCCCGATGTCCCCGCAGGAGGTGGCGATGCCCGAGGTCCTGTACGAGGAGGTGATCGAGGTGGACGAGCGGCTCATCCCGGAGCAGCCGGGCTGTCACCTGCCCGGGAGTGACACCTGGCCCCGGGTGGAAGGTGGGACACTGGGGGGGTGACACCGGGACTGTCACCTGCCCGGGAGTGACACCTGGCCCCGGGTGGAAGGTGGGACACTGGGGGGGGTGACACTGGGACTGTCACCTGCCCGGGAGTGACACCTGGCCCCGGGTGGAAGGTGGGACACTGGGGGGGTGACACCGGGGCTGTCACCTGTCTGGGAGTGACACCTGGCCCCGGGTGGAAGGTGGGACACTGGGGGGTGACGCAGGGACTGTCACCTGCCCGGGAGTGACACCTGGCCCCGGGTGGGAGGTGGGACACTGGGGGGGGTGACACCAGGACTGTCACCTGCCCGGGAGTGACACCTGGCCCCGGGTGGAAGGTGGGATACTGGGGGGTGACACCGGGACTGACACCTGGCCCCGGGTGGAAGGTGGGACACTGGGGGGGTGACACCAGGACTGTCACCTGCCCGGGAGTGACACCTGGCCCCGGGTGGAAGGTGGGACACTGGGGGGGTGACACTGGTACTGTCACCTCCCGGAGTGACAACCGGCCCCGGTTGGAAGGTGGGGACACTGGGGGGTTACACCGGACTTTCATTGTGTCACCTGCCCGGGAGTGACACCTGGCCCCGGGTGGAAGGTGGGACACTGGGGGGGTGACACCGGGACTGTCACCTGCCCGGGAGTGACACCTGGCCCCGGGTGGAAGGTGGGACACTGGGGGGGTGACACCAGGACTGTCACCTGCCCGGGAGTGACACCTGGCCCCGGGTGGGAGGTGGGACACTGGGGGGGTGACACTGGGACTGTCACCTGCCCGGGAGTGACACCTGGCCCCGGGTGGAAGGTGGGACACTGGGGGGGTGACACCGGGATTGTCACCTGCCCGGGAGTGACACCTGGCCCCGGGTGGAAGGTGGGACAGGGGATGTGCCACCACCTGTGACGACCCTGTCACTGTCACCCTCCCCGCTCCTGGGAGGTGGGAGCGGGGTCTTTGGGGGTCCGCAGGAGGGGACACCCCGTGACTGTCCCCTGTGTCCCCCCCCAGGCTGCTCCGGGGTGACCCTGCTGGTGCAGCGGCCGCTGGATCTGGGGGGGCTCCGGCGGGAGCTCGAGGGGGTCCTGGCCCGGGGCATCCAGAGCCTGGCTGTGCTCCTGCTGCACTCCTACATGTGAGTGGGGGGCTTTGGGGGGTCCGGGGGGGTCCTGGGGGTCCCACAGCCTGGCTGTGCTCCTGCTGCACTCCTACATGTGAGTGGGGGGCTTTGGGGGTCTGGGGGGGTCCTGGGGGTCCCACAGCCTGGCCATGCTCCTGCTGCTCTCTTACATGTGAGTGGGGGGCTTTGGGGGGGTCCTTGGGTGTCCTGGGGGGTCCCACAGCCTGGCTGTGCTCCTGCTGCACTCCTGCATGTGAGTGGGGGGTCCTGAGGGGTTCTGGGGGGTCCCACAGCCTGGCTGTGCTCCTGCTGCACTCCTACATGTGAGTGGGGGGCTTTGGGGGGTCCGGGGGGGTCCCACAGCCTGTCCGTGCTCCTGCTGCACTCCTACATGTGAGTGGAGGGCTTTGGGGGGCTTGGGGGTCCTGGGGGGTCCCAGAGCATGGCTGTGCTCCTGCTGCCACTCCGACATGACTGGGGGCTTGGGGTCCCGGGGGGTCCTGGGGGTCCCCACAACCTGGCCATGCTCCTACTGCACTCCTACATGTGAGTGGGGGGCTTTGGGGGGCCCTGGGGGGTCCCTGTGACTGGGGTGTCCCCCGGGTGGCCGGGGCATGAGGAGCAGGTGGGAGCGCTGGCCCGGGGGTCGCTTGTGGGGGGGATTTTGGGGGGTCCGTGACAGGAGGGTGTGTCCCAGGGGCCGGGGCATAGAGGAGGCAGGTGGGGCTTCTGGCCCGGGACTGGGGGTCCCTGTTTGTGGGGGTCCCAGGTGACAGGGGGTGTTCCCCAGGGGCGCCGGGGCATGAGGAGCGGTCGGGTCTCTGGCCCGGACGGGGGGGGGTCCCGGTTTTTGGGGGAATTTGTGGTCCGGTGACAGGGGGTGTTCCCCATGTGGCAGGTGGCCGGGGCACAAGGACAGGTCGAGGCACGAAGGGGGTCCCGGTTTGGGGGGGATGTGGGGGGTCCCTTTGACAGGGGGTGTTCCCCAGGTGGCCGGGGCATGAGGAGCAGGTCGGGTCTCTGGCCCGGGAGCTGGGGGGGGTCCCTGTTTGGGGGAATTTGGGGGGTCCCTGTGACAGGGGGTGTTCCCCAGGTGGCCGGGGCACAAGGAGCAGGTCGAGGCACTGAGGGGGTCCCTGTTTGGGGGGGATTTGGGGGGTCCCTGTGACAGGGGGTGTTCCCCAGGTGGCCGGGGCACGAGGAGCAGGTGGGAGCGCTGGCCCGGGGGTCGCTTTTGGGGGGGATTTGGGGGGTCCCTGTGACAGGGGGTGTTCCCCAGGTGGCCGGGGCATGAGGAGCAGGTGGGGGCTCTGGCCCGGGAGCTGGGGGGGTCCCTGTTTGGGGGGTCCCTGTGACAGGGGGTGTTCCCCAGGTGGCCGGGGCATGAGGAGCAGGTCGGGGCTCTGGCCCGGGAGCTGGGGTTCCGGCAGGTCTCGCTGTCCTCGGCGGTGGCCGGGATGGCCCGGGCCGTGCCCCGGGGCTTCACCGCCTGCGCCGACGCGTACCTGACCCCCGGCATCCGGCGCTACCTGCGCGGCTTCTGCCACGGCTTCGCCGACCAGCTGCGCGTGAGTGGGGCACGGGCACCCCCCCGGCCGGCACCGATCTCCCTGGGACCCCCCACTATGGGCACCCATCCCCCTGGGACCCCCCCCATGAACACCCATCCCCTTGGGACCACCCTGAAGGCACCCATCCCCCTGGGACCCCCCCGGCCTGCACTCATCCCCTTGGGACCACCCTGAGGGCACCCATCCCCCTGGACCCTCCTGGCCACCACCCATCCCCCTGGGACCCCCCAGCCTGCACCTATCCCCCTGGGACCACCCTGAGGGCACCCATCCCCCTGGGACCACCCCAGCCTGCACCTATCCTCCTGGGACCACCCTGAGGGCACCCATCCCCCTGGGACCCCCCCCATGAGCACCCATCCCCCTGGGACCCCCTGGCCACCACCCATCCCCCTGGGACCCCCCCCTATGAACACCCATCCCCTTGGGACCACCCTGAAGGCACCCAGCCCCTTGAGACCACCCTGAGGGCACCCATCCCCCTGGGACCCCCCCGGCCTGCACTCATCCCCTTGGGATGCCCCTGAGGGTACCCATCCCTCTGGACCCCCCCCCCGGCCTGCACCCATCCCCCTGGGAACACCCTGAGGGCACCCAGCCCCCTGGGACCACCCGCATGGGCACCCAGCCCCTTGGGACCACCCTGAGGGCACCCGTCCCCCTGGGACCCCCCACCCGTGGGCACCCATCTGCCTGGGACCCCCCTCCTATGGACACCCATCCACTTGGGACCACCCTGAGGGCACCCATCCCCCTGGGACACCCCCCCCCCCATGGACACCCATCCACTTGGGACCACCCTGAGGGCAACCATCCCCCTGGGACCACCCTGAGGGCACCCAGCCCCCTGGGACCCCCCCCCCAGCCTGCAGCCCGCCCCCTTGTGGCACGGATCCCTCTGGGACCACCCTGAGTGCACCCATCCACCTGTGACCTCCCCGGCCTGCCAGGGGCCCCCTGGTTGGACTGATCCCCCCTGAGTTCCCCCCTGAGCACCCATCCCACTGGGACAACCCTGAGGGCACCCAGCCCACCGTGACCCACCCTGAGCCTGCTGGGACCCCACTATGAGGCCCCATCCCACTGGGACCACCCGGAGGGCACCCACACCCCTGAGACCCCCCCTGGCCTTGCTAGATGACGCACCACTATTAGCACCCTCCCCTGGGAAGCCCCCTCCAACGGCACCCATACCGCTGGGACCCCCGCCCCGATCCCCTGCTGGGAACCGTCCCTGGAGGCACCCATCCCACTGGGCCCCCCCCCCCATCCTGCTGGGACCTCCCTGGGAGCACCCATCCCACTGGGACCCCCCTCCAAGGGCACCCATCCCACTGGGACCCCCCACATCCTGCTGGGACCTCCCTGGGGACACTCATCCCACTGAGACCCCCCTCCAAGGGCACCCATCCCACTGAGACCCCCCCCCAAGGGCACCCATCCCACTGGGACCCCCCATCCTGCTGGGACCTCCCTGGGAGCACCCATCCCACTGGGACCCCCCCCCATCCTGCTGGGACCCACCTGGGAACACCCATCCCACTGAGACCCCCCTTAAGGGCACCCATCCCACTGGGACCCCCCATCCTTCTGGGACCTCCCTGGGAGCAACCCATCCCACGGCCCCCCTCCAAGGCACCATCCACTGAGACCCCCCTTAAGGGCACCCACCAACTGGGAACCCCCACAGATCCTGCGGGACCCAGCCTGGGCACCCATCCCACTGAACCCCCCCCCAAGGGCACCCATCCCACTGGGCCCCCCCCATCCTGCTGGGACCCACCTGGGGGCACCCATCCCACTGAGACCCCCCCCCCCAAGGGCACCCATCCCACTGGGACCCCCCACATCCCACCAGGACCCCCCATAAGTTCCCATCCCACGGGGACCTCCTGTGGGAACCCGTCCTGCTGGGACCCCCCCCCATATACCTTGGCAGCCCCCCACCCCTGCAGGGGGTGTGGGTTCTGTTCATGGGGGGGGGCTCACCCCCAGGGACCCCCAAAGGACCCCCACACCCCTGAGCCCCCCCAAAGGACCCCCACACCCCTAGGACCCCCCCATATACCTTGGCAGCCCCCCACCCCTGCAGGGGGTGTGGGTTCTGTTCATGGGGGGGGGCTCACCCCCAGGGACCCCCAAAGGACCCCCACACCCCTGAGCCCCCCCAAAGGACCCCCACACCCCTAGGACCCCCCCATATACCTTGGCAGCCCCCCACCCCTGCAGGGGGTGTGGGTTCTGTTCATGGGGGGGGGCTCACCCCCAGGGACCCCCAAAGGACCCTCACGCCCCTGAGCCCCCCCGAGCCCACCCCTGAGACTCCCCCATTCCTGCCATTCACGGGGGGGGGCTCACCCCGGGGACCCTCACCCTGGGACCCCCCAGTGGCCCCCACAGGGGGTGTGGGTGCTGCTGGGATGGGGGTCCCACCCCAGGGACCCCCTGAACCCCCCTCCATCCCACAGGGGGTGTGGGTGATGCTGGGATGGGGGTCCCACCCCGGGGACCCCCTGACCCCCCCTCCATCCCACAGAGGGTGTGGGTGCTGCTGGGCCAGGGATCCCACCCCAGGGACCCCCTAACCCTGCAGGAGTTGTGGGTGCTGCTGGGCCAGGGATCCCACCCCAGGGACCCCCTAACCCTGCAGGAGTTGTGGGTGCTGCTGGGGCAGAGATCCCATCCCGGGGACCCCCTGACCCCCCCTCCATCCCACAGAGGGTGTGGGTGCTGCTGGGACAGGGATCCCACCCCAGGGACCCCCTGACCCCCCCTCCATCCCGCAGGGGGTGTGGGTGCTGCTGGGACAGAGATCCCACCCCGGGGACCCCCTGACCCTGCAGGGGGTGTGGGTGCTGCTGGGACAGGAATCCCACCCCAGCGACCCCCTGACCCTGCAGGAGTTGTGGGTGCTGCTGGGATGGGGATCCCACCCCAGGGACCCCCTGACCCTGCAGGAGTTGTGGGTGCTGCTGGGGCAGAGATCCCACCCCAGGGACCCCCTGACCCTGCAGGAGTTGTGGGTGCTGCTGGGGCAGAGATCCCACCCCGGGGACCCCCTGACCCCCCCTCCATCCCGCAGGGGGTGCGGGTGCTGTTCATGCGCTCGGACGGGGGGCTCACCCCCATGGGCAGCTTTGGGGGGGCCCGGGCCATCCTGTCGGGGCCCGCGGCGGGGGTGGTGGGCTACGCCCGCACCACCTACAACAGCCTCGACGGGACCCCCGTCATCGGCTTCGACATGGGAGGTGAGGGGGTCCCAAGGGGGGCAGGGGGGGTCCCAAGGGGGGCAGGGGTCCCACTGGGACGGGGGGGTCCGGCTAGGGTCGGGGGACAGCCCGGGGTGGGGGCCCCGCTGGGTTTGGGGGTTCCTCTGGGCTTGGGGTCCCGCTGGGTTTGGGGTCCGGCCGGGTTGGGGTCTGGGGATCAGGGGGTCCGTTGGGTTTGGAATATGTCAGTTTTGGGATCCCGCTGGGTTTGGGGGTCTGGCTGGATTTGGGGGTTCATTGGGTTTGGAGTCTGATGGTTTTGGGATCCCACTGGATTTGGGGGTTCACTGGGTTTGGAGTCTGCTGGTTTTGGGATCCCACTGGGTTTGGGGGTCTGGCTGGATTTGGGGGTTCCTTGGGTTTGGGGTTCAGCAATTTTGGGGTCCCACTGGGTGTGGCCAGATTTGGGGGTTCATTGGGTTTGGAGTCTTCTGATTTCGGGATCCCGCTGGGTTTGGGGGTTCCTGGCTGGATTTGGGGGTTCCTTGGGTTTGGGGTTCAGCAATTTTGGGGTCCTGCTGGGTTTGGGGGTCTGGCTGGATTTGGGGGTTCATTGGGTTTGGAGTCTGCTGTTTTCGGGATCCCACTGGGTTTGGGGGTCTGGCTGGATTTGGGGGTTCCTTGGGTTTGGAGTCCGGTGTTTTTGGGGATCCCACTGGGTTTGGGGGTCTGGCTGGAATTGGGGGTTCCTTGGGTTTGGGGTTGAGCAATTTTGGGGTCCCGCTGGGTTTGGGGGTCTGGCTGGATTTGGGGGTTCCATGGGTTTGGGGTTCAGCAGTTTTGGGGTCGCACTGGGTTTGGGGGTCTGGCTGGATTTGGGGGTTCATTGGGTTTGGAGTCTGCTGGTTTTGGGATCCTGCAGAGTTTGGGGGTCTGGCTGGATTTGGGGGTTCCTTGGGTTTGGGGTTGAGCAAGTTTGGGGTCCCACTGGGTTTGGGGGTCTGGCTGATTGGTTCTGGGTTTGGAGTCCGGAATGGTTTTTGTTGGATCCTGCAGGTTGGCTGGATTTGGGATTCCGTGGTTGGAGGCTTCTGATTTCGGGACCTGCCAGTTTTAGGGGGTCTGGCTGGATTTGGGGGTTCCGTGGTTGGAGTCTTGTGTGTGGGGTTCGCCCACACTTTCTGGATCTTCTGATGTTGGGATCCCACTGGTGTTGGGGTTCCTGGCTGGATTTGGGGGTTCCTTGGGTTTGGGGTTGAGCAATTTTGGGGTCCCGCTGGGTTTGGGGGTCTGGCTGGATTTGGGGGTTCCTTGGGTTTGGAGTCTGATGGTTTTGGGATCCTGCAGGGTTTGGGAGTCTGGCTGGATTTGGGGGTTCCTTGGGTTTGGGGTTCAGCAATTTTGGGGTCCCACTGGGTGTGGCCGGATTTGGGGGTTCCTTGGGTTTGGAATCTTCTGATTTTGGGATCCCGCCGGGTTTGGGGGTCTGGCTGGATTTGGGGGTTCCTTGGGTTTGGAGTCTGCTGTTTTTGGGATTCCACTGGCTTTGGGGGTCTGGCTGGATTTGGGGGTTCCTTGGGTTTGGGGTTCAGCAATTTTGGGGTCCCGCCGGGTTTGGGGTCCGTCAGTTTTGGGGTCCGTGCCCCCCCAGGCACCTCGACCGACGTGAGCCGCTACGCGGGGGAGCTGGAGCACGTCTTCGAGGCCACCACGGCGGGGGTCCCCATCCAGGCCCCCCAGCTCGACATCAACACCGTGGCAGCCGGGGGGGGGTCCCGCCTCTTCTTCAGGTGAGGCCGGGGGGGGGCCCGGGGGGGGAGTCCTGGGGAGACAAGAGGGTCTCTGGGCACTGGGGGTGTCCCGGGGGGGGATGTGGGGGCTCCAGGCACCGGGAGGATCCCGTGGCATGGGGGGGCTCTGGGCATCGGGGGGGGCGTGGGGGGAAGGAGGGCTCCAGGCACTGAGGGACCCCCACGCTCCCGTGGGTGTCCCGGACCCCCCCCGATCCCCCCGTGCCCCCCCCCAGGTCTGGTCTGTACGTGGTCGGCCCCGAGTCAGCGGGAGCCCACCCGGGCCCCGCCTGCTACCGCAAGGGTGAGTGAGTGTCCCCCTGACACCCCCCTGACACCCCCTGACCCCCCCTTGACACCCCCTGACACCCTCTGACATCCCCCTGACATCCCCCTGACACCCCCTGACACCCTCTGACACCCCCATGACGCCCTGACAACCCCCCGTGAAAAAAAAGAACACACCCTACCCCCCTGACACCCCCCTGGACACCCCCCCGACCCCCCGCCCCCCACGCCCCCCCTACCCAACCCCCCCCGACACCCCCCCTGA